ATTAAAACCGAAGTTCTGAAATAATGTAAAATGGCCAAATCTCAAAAATGCAAAAATGTTGAAAAACAGCCAAGTTATAAATTTTTTTTTTTTAATTTATCGAAAATTTGTATGGCAGCTATATGATATAGTCGTCCGATCCGGCCCGTTACGACATATTTAGCAGTGGGAGCATATAGAAGACTATATCCAAAGTTTCATTCAAATAGCTTTAAAACTGAGGGACTAGTTTGCGTAGAAACGGACAGACGGACATGGCTAGATCGACTCGGCTGTTGATGCTGATCAGGAATATATATACTCTATAGGGTCTGAAAGGTCTCCTTCACTGCGTTGCAAACTTCTGACTGAAATTATAATACCCTGCAAGGGCATAAAAATCAGAAATAATAGAAAATGTTCATATCTCAGATTATATGAAAATATTAATAAAAACCCAAAATTATCGTTTTTTTTATTACTTTTCCAATTGTTCCTACGAAAGCTGTGTGCTATAATCGTCTTAGAAACGGAAAGACGGACATGGCTAGATCAACTCCTTCCTTCATCGCTTTCGTTCAGAAACGCTACAGCAAACTCTGATCAGGCCATCGCCGATCTCTTTGCCGAGTTTTTCAAAACTACGTATTGTTCCTCGAATAGCTCAGATCAGACTTACTCTTTTGATTTGCCCAAGTCGAACCTAATTTTCAGTCCCATTTTAACCGAAAGCTCCCTTAGTTCGGATCTTCATCGTGTAAAACCAGTTTACTCACCGGGTCCCGATGGAATACCAGGCTGCGTGCTCAAGTATTGTGCCGGAGCTCTGTGCAATCCCCTTTTGAAATTGTTTACCTTATCTTTAGAAACCTCAGAATTTCCCCTTATTTGGAAGGAATCATTTATCATTCCTCTCCACAAAAAAGGTAGCAAATCGGACGCCAGCAACTATAGAGGAATCTCTAAGTTGTCGGCAATTCCAAAACTTTTCGAGAATGTAATTACTCCCCACTTGCAGCATTTATGCAGATCCGTAATTTCACCATGTCAGCATGGTTTTATGAGGCGAAGATCGACCACTACAAATCTTCTGGAACTCACCTCTTTCGTTATTAGAGGTTTCCAACGTAACTTTCAAACCGACGTGATTTACACAGACTTCAGTAAAGCCTTTGACTCGGTTAATCACTCTCTTCTTGTAAGGAAGCTTGACTTAATCGGGTTTCCTGTCGATCTACTTAAATGGATTTTGAGCTATTTGAGTGACAGAACTCAAAAGGTTCTGTTTAAAAATGCTCTATCCAAATTCCTCAGAGTCACTTCTGGCGTCCCGCAGGGTAGCCACCTCGGCCCGCTGCTATTTACATTGTTTATCAATGACCTCCCGCTGGTTCTAACGAATTCTAGAGTACTTATGTACGCTGATGACGTTAAGCTATGCTTGCAGTATAAGGACAGCTCTTGCCAGTCAGACCTGCAATCGGATCTTAATAACTTTCAAGCATGGTGTCGTGCTAATTTATTACATCTCAACAGCTCTAAATGCAAGCTGATGACATTTTCACGTGTCACTCCCCAGTTTGCCACTTATATGCTAAATGATTGTGCTCTTGAAAGAATATCTCTTGTTGATGATTTAGGCGTTCGCTTAGACCCTAAACTTTCGTTCTCTGAACATATTTCGTGCACGGTTAATAAGGCCAGAGGCATGCTAGGTTTTATTAAGAGGTGGTCGAAGGAATTCGATTCCCCTTATATAACGAAGACCCTTTTTACTTCGTTAGTTCGCCCTATATTGGAGTATGGTTCATGCGTCTGGAGTCCTCAATTCGGAATCCATATTAACCGTATTGAATCTGTACAAAAGAACTTTTTACTTTTCGCCCTCCGTGGCCTACCTTGGGATGCTGATGAGAGGCTACCGTCCTATACAAGTAGACTCCTATTAATTAACTTACCCTCCCTAGCTAACCGTAGAACAATGCTTGGTGTCGTATTCCTTCATAACCTTATAAATGGTGTGGTTGAGAGCCCCTTTCTTTTAGGGCAGCTTAACTTCCACGTTCCCCGACTAACATCTAGAACCCTTATCCCTTTAGTAGTAAATCACTGTAGGCGGGAGTTTGAAGTACATGAACCCTTTAGGGTTTTATGTACGGATTACAACCGCCTCTCTGATATTATAATTCGTAGCGATAACCCTTCTATATTAAAAACCTTAATACTTGTAGAGTTAGCTCGTAGTGTAGCACCGTAGTCTAATTCTGCATGCGTTTCTTTTTATTTTACCTATTTATTTATTCTTGCATGACTTGTAGTAGTTATCTCGTAGAGTAGCACTTATTTTGCATGCGTTTTTCTTTTTTTTTTTTTTTTTCTTTTTTTTTTTTTTATATTTTGTTTATTTATTAAATTATGGTTATGGTTATATATTTTTATTATTAGATCATTATTTTGCATGTGTTTTTATTTATTTATATATTTATAGTTTATTATATTATCTCCTAATGTTTCCTCGTACATTTCGTCTGTCCTTCTAACGCGTCTATCTAGTTCGCGATTCGTGCCGTACGTCACACGGCTGCGCCCCTCGGTCGGTTGGGCGGGAGGTGGAAGCGGGACCCCGCGCGAAAAAAAAAAAAAAAAAAAAAAAAAAAAAACTCGGCTTGTGATGTTTGTACAATTTTCGTCAAGGAGTTAATTGCTCGCAGCTGCCACCAGTAATTTATTGATAAGATTGCGACCAAATGCTGACCAGCTACCTAAACAAACTCTAGAAACTCGCAACACCCGGATCACTCAGGTCCGAGCACACATGTCTTATTTCGGGCCATAAACAGAATCCCGGGATCGGTCACGTATTTCACACCAGTTGCATGCAGACTTCTCAGGAATTAGTTATCTAAGTAGTTCATATGGCTGTATCCAGCTAATTATGTTTTAATAGGATAAACCCATATATCTAATAAATGTAACCCAAAGGTAGACCTAAGAAAATATCCTTTGACCCAAGAACATGTATATACTTATACATATATTCAATAAAATCAGTACGAAAAGATTTCTTGACGATTCAATTCTCTGCAGCCCAATTTGTACTGAACTTATTGCGGCGACTATTGCCACTGGTACTGTTCTTAAGGCACGCAAAAAAAAAAACCATTTTCAGCATTAGGATTTCAGTTGAATCCGCACAATGCTGGTCAAGAAGGGTGCGTCGCAAACTTCTGCTATATTTTCTTACATTTTCGTAGTGAATGGCCAATATTTTTAAAGTTCGGCTGATGTAACGTCCTTTTAGTATAGCGATAAGTCGGTACTAACAAAACAAAAGAAATCACTCTCTTTCCTTTCGACCGGCTGCTTCCTCTACGAATGTTTAAGCGGCTCTCGCAAATAACAAAACATAAGCCAGAAAGCTTGTGAAATAACAGACGTCTTAAATAAAATGAACACAAGAAGATGTTCGAATTTATGGGAACCTTAAATTAAAAAGGACTGAAGGCAGACCAAACTGTTGATAAAAGAAGATAAATGTTTCTAGGAACATTTTTTGCAACGGCTGTCTACTTAAATGTAGATATAGTCCAAGTAAACAGAAATTATATTGTGTAAACTCCCAGGCTTTTATTTTTAAATTACAGCATCGGATTGATTATATTATGCCTTTGCAGGGAATTATACTTTAAGTCAAAAGTTTGCAAATTAGTTAATTAGACATTTCCGACTCCATAAAGTATTCATATTCTTGATCAGCATTAAATCTAAAATTTTAAGTAATATAAAATAGTAAATATGGAAAAGATTTCAATTAAATGCGAGAGCGCGCCATAGATTCATTAAAAGACCTTAGGGCCTCTAAAAACATTCTCGCATTAGACCTCTGGGCCGTTCACACATAATAAGACCTCATGGCCTATAAAACTTTAAAATTATATAATTATTTTATTTTATTTAATTAATATTTATATTATTTTTATACCCTTGCAGGGTATTATAATTTCAGTCAGAAGATTGCAACGCAGTGAAGGAAACCTTTCCGACCCTATAAAGTATATATATCCTTGATCAGCAGTTTTAAAGCTTAATCTTAATGAAACTTTGCATATAGTCTTCTATATGCCGGACGACTATATCATATAGCTGCCATACAAATGTTCGATAAATATTTATAAAAAAAATTATAATTTGGCTGTTTTTCAAAATTTTTGCATCATTTTGTTTTTAATTCTAAATAAAATAATAAATAAAAAAATATTTTTATCTACTCTTATGAGATATGAGATATGAGCTTCCTTTAATATTTCAGAGTTTTGGTATAAATTTTATGAAAATCGGACAACTATATCATTAGCTGCCATATGAACGATCAGTAAATGTAGAGAAAATGTAAAGCTGGGAATGTAAAACTGTAACTGTCAAACTGTAAAATTGTTTTGTGTGCGTTTTCAGCATTTTATTTATGCTATGTATAAATATATTTATATGTAAGAGATGGGGGGCCAGCTTTGTCGGCCATTGTCGCTTCCTTTTCTTTTAACGCAGCGCAGCGACTCGCAATGAATTCTGTAGTTCGTCCGTTCTCTCTGCTAGTCTCGCTCGAACTGACTTGCCCTTTCCTTTTTTCTACATTTCTCGTTCTTCTCTACTCGTCATTGCGCCACACTCAGTGGGGAATACTATCTTACTCCCCACCACGCTCTGTCTTAATAAGTTATCTTTCTATTCTGTAGTTGTTACTTTTATTACTCTTCATTTATTTCCATATTCGATACACTTGCAGACTTACAAATAGTAATTACATCTAACATTTCAAAGTAATCTCCGACATATATATACATATATATAAATATTTTATATATATATATTTTTATTATTATTTAACCAAAATGACTCGATTCTTAATGGTCCAATTCCACTCTGCAAGGGTATACAAACTTCGGCGTGCCGAAGTTAGCTTCCTTTCTTGTTAATTAATATTTTGCTTATTGTAATTTATGATTATTTTTATATATTTATAGATATTGACAACAATGGATTTTTGGACCAAAATGACTTCCTCTGCATGGCAGTAAGAGCATGCGTAGTTGAAGGAAAAGGAGATTGCAGCACATCTCGACTAGATGAATATAAAAAACTTATGAAGAATTTGTGGGAAGAAATTTCGGCAATTGCTGATGACGATAAGGTATTATAAATTGCAAATTTTTATGTTGCCCTGATTACACAGCTTGACAGCTTTTTGAAACCAATTCGCTGAACTCAAATACGTTTGGTTTTGGTACTTTTAATGTGTTGTAATTTGAATACGTTTTATTTTTTTCTAATCAATCGCTATGGCATCTTAAATAACTGCTATAACATGACTTTATGTAGCCTTGAGGTCTTTTCTCTTGAATTTATATCGATATTTTTCCATATATTTCGGACATTTGACATTATTTCAAAGTTCCATACAGTGTTTAAAAAATTTGAAAAACTGATGTTGGAGTTCTTTATAATATGTAGTTACAGCACCCCAAAAGTACCTTAAAACTGAATATTTTAGCACTTTTAATAATCTCATTCTCGAATTAAAATGGGCTCGGAACATTTTTTTTGAAAAGACATACATGTAGAGTATTTATTATTAAAAGTATGTTTAGTTATATTATTATTAACAATGATAGACAATGATGTTTAATTGCGAATAACTGCGACGACTTATTTTACGACTTTTTGCTGCAACTTCTCACGATCGACGACTTCAAGTGTGACCAACTTCCTTCTAACGCTGCTACCTCTTGTCGCTTTTCGTTCTGTGGTGTTTTTGGGTTCCACAAACTCTGGCCACACTGCAAGTGTGTGCCTGCCGCTAACCAGTGTTACCACTCTTTACATACATATAAGCTACAGTTGGCCTCAATAACAAACAAATTTCAATTTCTTAGTTGTCTTGGTTCAAAAACTACAGGATACGCAACACGTCATTTAAAAAAATTATTTGTAATGTTTTTTTAGCACTTGTTTATAAGCTCGTATTTTTCACAATGTATTTTTTTTTTTATTTTTAATTTATATTTTTTTATAGTTTTGACTTTCATAGCGAACGGTCATGTTATTGTTTTGCGCTCCGAGCATTTTTTTGTTGTTTTGCATTTAAAACCACCGGGGTCCAGATCTAATTTGTTAAAATACAATTCGTAACTTTGCCGTTTAGCTACTCGAGTGCATGTGCATGTGGCTTTTAGTGCTTTAATTAATATTTACATTTTTATTAATCACTTGATTTTTTTGCGTTTTCTTGTCCCCTTTCGTGCTGTCCCGTTTTAGTTGCTATTAGCTGCACTCAAGCGATTCTAAGCTTTCATCTGTTCTCTGCTCTCTCACGTCTACTTTCCCGCTCTCTTCTTTTATTTTCGGGACCGCTTATCTGTGCACCGTGGTTGAAGGTTCGTGAAAATGGTGTCAAATTTTGTTTGTGATATTAAAGGCTACAAAAAAGAGGTTTTGGCAGATCAGCCTAGCCTTTACTGCTGGCTTTGAGGTGAGAAGGAAATGTTATCCTTTATGCGGCAAACCAGAAGTGGATTCAGTGAACTTAGGGTCAATTTTCGCAAAGCGAATGACCTGTTCACAGCACTGGATGCTCAATTTAATGGCATGAAGCTGTTAAGTGAGTCGCCAAAGCGCAAAAAATCGGCTTCTGGTCGGCTGCAACTGGGCGATTTGGTTTGAGGCACTCTCCCTCGGTACAGCCCCCGACACCGACACCAACTCCAATGGTGTTGAGATCGGGAACGGCTAAAGATTCGGCATTCGAAGGTGCCGGGGCAGTAATGGCAGAAGCTCCGCCAGTTTTATCAGTTGAGTCCGCTGCGGTGTCTCAATCTCTGAGGGAAAAGAAAGGGTTGGACCACTAGCTGATGTCGCTAATGCTGCGTTACCAAAGACCCTCACCGCTATTCCACCATTAAAAACAATATTTGTTTCTCGGCTTGCCCCTGATCTCGCATCGGAAGATGTACTAGCTCATATACTGAGCAAAAAACAAGCCAAAAATCTGAAAGTGGAAAAATTCAATTGCTCATACCCCAGAGACATCTCATCTTTCAAGACAAGTGTCTCCCTCGATCTTTTTGACACAATTTGTTCTGGTGACTTCTGGCCCGAGCACTCTGTAGTCAATGAGTACGAGGTAAAAATAAAAAAAAAAAACGACCTACAAGGCCGGCACAAACCACATCGACCGCGGGTGTCACGGCAGTGCCAAAAACTAAATATCTCCCTTCTACTTTCCTATCAGAATACTAGAGGCTTACGCAGCAAGCTCTCTAAATTGTATTCTGATAGTTTTTCGTTTGCATCCCAGGTGATTGTGTTTACCGAAACCTGGTTAAAGCCGGAGATTCTCAGCTCCGAAATTTTTCCGGGTAAGTACACAACTTATAGATTGGATCGTCTTTCCCAGCGAGGTGGTGGAGTTTTAATTGCCGTTGACTCCACCCTTATTTCCGAACTGGTGCAACTGGACGATCTCACAGGTATTGAATTTATCTGTGTAAAACTATCATTTCCAGGTAGTTTTATCTTTATAACCTGTTCTGACGTTCCTCCATCTGCTGAAGAGCCTATTTATTGGAAAAACCCTTTAGGCAATTCAGGCCGTTTCCAACATGCTTTCAGATAGAGACCAATTAGTAACTCTAGGTGACTTCAATATACCTGGAGCTCGTTGGTCATCAGATGGTACGTCCAATGTTCTCTACAGTGCGGCACAGCATGACCTCATAGATGGCTTGCTTGACATTTCTTTGTCCCAAGTTAACCATGTCTTAAATTCTTTAAATCTCTTACTAGATCTGTGTTTCGTCTCCGATCCTGTAGGTGTAAACTTAACAAGAGTTGATCCATTGACGCTTCCTGAAGACCCTTACCATCCTACTTTCAAAGTGACCATCGATTTGGGGGACTGTCGTAAAGACCAAACCTGATCTGAGTCGCTCAGCTCCTAAAGGCTAGATATCTTAATTTCTGAATTTAATTGGTCTGAACTTTACATGGCGTCCGCCGTGGATATTTTTTACAGTGCCATAAATGCGTTCTTTGCATCGTGTGTTCCGTTAATCTATCTGTCGGTGTCTAGTAAACCACCTTGTTTCACTAAAGAGCTGACACGCCTAAAAAACATGAAGTCTAGGTTTTATAATCGTTATAAACGTACCGGTTCTCCTACTGTTCATTCAAGTTATCATATTGCTCGGTCGAATTTCACCGTGCTAAACGCACAGTGTTATAAAAGTTATTTAACTCGCTGTAGGGTTCAGTTCACGAAGGACCCTAAACAGTTTTATAACATAGTTAACACCAATCGAAAACCCAATCTATATCCTTCCTCGCTTTCTTTTAATAACACTACAGCAAACTCTGACCAGGCCATCGCCGATCTCATTGCCGACTTTTTTAATTCAATTATTCTTCTTCTTCTTGCTTAGATCAGACTTACTCTTTTGATTTGCCCAGATCGAACATAATTTTCAGTTCGCTCCCTTAGTTCGGATCTTCATCGTGTAAAACCAGTTTACTCACCGGGTCCCGATGGAATACTAGGCTGCGTGCTCAGGTATTGTGCTGGAGCTCTGGGCAATCCCCTTCTGAAATTGTTTACCTTATCTTTATATACCTCAGAATTTCCCCTTATTTGGAAGAAATCATTTATCGTTCCTCTCAACAAAAAAGATAGCAAATCGGACGCCAGAAACTATAGAGGAATGTGTAAGTTGTCGGAAATTCCAAAACTTTTCGAGAATGTAATTACTCCTCACTTGCAGCATTTATGCAGATCCGTAATTTCACCATGTCAGCATGGTTTTATGAGGCGAAGATCGACCACTACAAATCTCCTGGAACTCACCTCTTTCGTTATTAGAGGTTTCCAACGTAACTTTCAAACCGACGTGATTTACACATACTTCAGTAAAGCCTTTAACTCGGTTCATCACTCTCTTCTTGTAAGGAAGCTTTACGTAATCGGCAGGAAGTCGATCTTCATAAATGGATTTTGAGTTATTTGAGTGACAGAACTCAAAAGGTTTTGTTTAAAAATGTTCTATCCAAATTCCTCAGAGTCACTTCCGGCATCCCACAAGGTAGCCAATGACCTCCCGCTGGTTCTAACGAACTCTAGAGTACTTATGTACGCTCATGACGTTAAACTATGCTTGCAGTATAAGGACAGCTCTTGCCAGTCAGACCTACAATCGGATCTTAATAACTTTCAAGCATGGTGTCGTGCTAATTTATTACATCTCAATAGCTCTAAATTCAAGCTGATGACATTTTCACGTGTCACACCCCATATTTGCCACTTATATGCTAAATGATTGCGCTTTTGAAAGAATATCTCTTGTTGATGATTTAGGCGTTCGCTTAGACCCTAAACTTTCGTTTTCTGAACATATTTCGTGTATGGTTAATAAAGCCGGAGTCATGCTCGGTTTTATTAAGAGGTGGTCGAAGGAACTCGATTCCCCTTACATAACGAAGACCCTTTTTACTTCGTTAGTTCGCCCTATATTGGAATATGGTTCATACGTCTGGAGTCTTCAATTCGGAGTCCATGTTAACCGTATTGAATCTGTAAAAAAGAACTTCTTACTTTTCGCCCTCCGAGGCCTACCCTGGGATGCTGATGAGAGACTACCATCCCACTTCTATTAATTAACTTACCCTCGCTAGCTAACCGTAAAACGATGCTTGCTGTCATATTCCTTAATAACTAATAAACGGTGATGTTGAGAGCCCCTTTCTTTTAGGGCAGCTCAATTTCCACGTTCCTCGACTAACATCTAGAACCCATATTTCCTTCAGTAATAAATCACTGTAGGCAGGAGTTTGAAGCATATGAACCCTTAAGGGTTTTATGTACGGATTAATTACAACCGTCTCTCTGATATTATTATTCGTAGTGATAGCCCTTTTGTACTGAAAACTTTAATTCTTGTTGAGTTAGCTCGTAGTGTAGCACCGTAGTCTAATTTTGCATGCGTTTCAATTTATTTATCGTAGTTATTATATAGTCACATTTTATTATATTTTTTTTATATTTATTTTGCATGCGTTTTTATTTATATATATTGTAAATAGTTTAAATATAGTATAAACTAGATAAGGTAACACTAAGAACTATTATATGTAAATATCGATAAG